TTTCTTGGCTGAAAGAGAGGGTATTTCTTCGTTCCTCCGTTTTGTTGGTGGAGTGTCACTGGACACTTGGTGCTTTCTTTTGGTAGCCTCTGCTTGCTGCGTTGTTTCCAAAAGGAAAGGATCAAGAAGAGGTGCATTAGTCCATGAAGACAATCTTCAGAGTGAAGCCTGACTGCCCACAGAATGTATCTCTTCCTGCAGAGATCATTATGCCCCATATGCCAACCATCAGTTTAGGGTTTACAACCAGATTCTTTGGCTTCATCTGAAATGGGGGGGGGGGGGGGGGGAGAGACACACAATCTCAGTCTATTCATCTGCAAGACCTCTATCCACCTAAACCGTTAAGTCATCCAAGATGAGAGCGGGAATCGGGAGAGAGAGGTATTCTGCCAGCTGACATTAACCAAATTCAGTCTGTTCTAAGGGAAGCAAGAACCTACCTTGTGAAGTAGGCAGGCTTACTAAGTCAAACCACACCCCTCGGAGTCTGTTTTTTGTGTGAGAACAGAGGCACACAGGGAAACAAAATATGCTTTTTTCTATCAATAAAGGATGTTAAGAAGAGACTGGAGAGGTGAATGACATGTTGAATCCTTGCTCATGCCCAGGAAGCGGAAACTGTCATTACTGTTCTTCCCTAGGGCTTGGATCTGTCATCCTTTCCCCTCAAGCTGCTCCAACTCAGATGGTCTGGAGTCAGTTCCTACTTGCCGTCCCCACTCCAAATGAGAGTGCCGCTCCATCCATCACTTCCATCATATTGTTCCCAACCCTCCTCGCCTTCGGAGCCCCTGCCTGACTGCTGATCATAGACATACATCATTAGGCACTTCTTGCCTGTTGCTTATTATCACAACACGGATGTAATTAATGCATGGTGCCCAAACTCTCCCTAGATCAGTGGTTCTCAACCCCAGGGTCGACTAACCCTTTCACAGGGGTCACATATCCTGCATACTGGATATCTGCATTATGATTCATAACAGTAGCAAAATTACAGCTATGAAGTAGCAATGAAAACAATTTTATGGTTAGGGGGGTCACCATAACATGAGAACCTGTATTAAAAGGTCACAGCACTAGGAAGATTGAGAACCACTGCCCTACAAGAAACATCAGATTCTTCTATTTTCTTTGGCCTTTTCTTCCAGTCTGCACAAGTATATATAATAGCTGGTACTTCTAATTCTGAGTTTTAGAATATATTTTCTTCTTCACTTGAAACAGCGAAGAACAGCTTACACACTGCCTTGTTTCACCAAGACTGTCAGTTTCAAACCAACCTACCAATGAAAAAGGACAAGTCTCTTTTCCTGGCAACTTAAGAATTCCTTTAAGGAATTCAATAAATACAATTTCAAGTACTGAATAGTAATAAAGTGAACACTAGCCTACTTCATCATAAAATTTGTTTTTGCAAAGTTCCCAAGTTTATGAATTTTCAGGTTAAAGAAAATGAAGCCATTTGTCAGAGAGCATGGGATTCGCACGCCTCACCTGACAGTTTCAAAGGCCTGAAGGTCACCCTACCACAGGTTTCCTGAGCTGGCCCAGAAGCCTCTAGCCATAACCCTTCTCTACCTCAGGATTCAACTTATTCTGCTACAGGTCAATCTCAGGTTCAGAAAGTTTCCTGCCAATCAAGACAAGACCTGCCTCCTGGAGCATCCATGGACCAGTCTGAAGAATGCTGTTGCAGCCAAACGGAGCAAGCTTATCGCCTCCTTTACACACCTTTCCTTTCCCCTTCTTTGGACTAAACATACTAGGTGGTACAAAGACTTTACAACCACAGCATCCTACTCACCCTTTACAGAAGGAAAGTCAAGGTCTCTCTACAAGCAAGTATCAGAAGCCAGCACGGTGGCTTACACAAGTAAGTCCAGCACTCATGTAACTAAGGCAGGAGGGCTGCTGCTGGGCTACAAAGTGAGTTCCAGGTTACAAGCCTACAGAGTTAAGACCCTGTCATAAACAAACAAAATAAGTGCTTGGAGTGAACTGGAGCAGGCTCTCCACCACTGTGAAGCTAACACTGAAAAATCTGCAGAAAGAGATCTAGGAAGCCTCCAGAGTACAACCTCTTCCCATCTTCTCAGCTTTAGATTCACCTTTACCTTTGGCCAGTCTTCCCTAAATTCCAGAATGTACCACCCTCTTCCATGAAAATAAATCTGAGATGCCTGACTAACTATATCCTATTTGGTCAGAAAATATTATAGCTATGTTTTTTTGAAGGCTATATACCAAAATGTTAAAAGTTATTTCTGGGTATGGCAACTCTAGGCAGGGTTGTATCTTCTAATTTTTCTTAAACTAAACTGTATTACTTCAATAAGCAGAATATCCTTAAGTGAAAAAAAAGTATTTTGTTCAGTATGAAGACAGAGCAACCCAATTTAAGCTGTCTGAAGGACCTTCCAAATCCAGAGTACTTTTTGTTACCCACCCTGAGTTCCCAGTATGAGCAAATCTGCTCAGCACAGCTTTACTCCCATTTGGATACACAGGCTGAAGCACAGACACAGGCCTCTATGGATCCCTGCAGCATTCTCTTGTATTGCTGTGTGTGTGAAAGCATATACGTCATGGCCAGCACAGGAAGGCCACAAGACAACTATGAGAAGTTGTTTCTCTCCTCCTACCTCTACCAGGTCCTGGAGAGTAAACTCAGGTCCTCAGGCTGGACAGCAGCACCTTTACCACCAAGCGGACTCACTGGCCTGTATTACCTTTCTTTTTCCTCTTTTTTTTTTTTGGGGGGGGGGGGGGGTGTCTTTTCCTTTCTTTCTTTACTTTTTTTTGAGAAAGGACCTTGCTGGCCTGGCCTGGAACTCATCGTAGACTAGAATGGTCTCGAACTCAGAGATCCAAAGGCCTTGGAGTACTGAGATTAAAGGCATATACACCACACCCAGCCTGTGTTACCTCTTGACCAATCACTTTGAAACACCAGTTGAAGTCATTGAAAACCAGATAATCTGCTAAGTCTGCTCACTCAATAAAATTTTGGAATTTTCTTTCTTTTCTTTCTGTATAGTTGGAGATGGAACTCAAAAGCCTTGCATGTACCAGGTGAACAAGGTACAGCCTCCTCAGGGCCCTTCAAATGGCACAGCACCACCCTGATCCAATGTTGCTGACCTGATACAGCCATCTACTTCCCCAAATGGCAACAATATTTCCTTTATTTTCATTACTGACACTCGGCAACTGCCTCTAAGGGCAAGACAATATACAGAGTTATTGCAGCTATTATCCCATTGGAGCTTTATAACAACTTTCTAAGAAACAAATTAGGGTTCCTATTTATGGAAGGAGAAACTTGGAACTCCCCCAAGGTCATAGGCTAGAGTGTTACAAAGCTGGTGTCTGACAGCTCAGGTCATCTTACTGTAAATCCTGCTCTTCTCCCCCCCCCCCACTACCCTCTAGGCTTGTCTGTGTATTTCTCCTCAAACACAGCCTCAGCTACACCAATGACTTGCTGAAGACTCCCTACTCCTAAGCATCTAGGCTCAGGAAGGTCCCTCCCTCTTCCTAACAAAAGTGAAACTCTGCAGTGAGTGTTAGACAAGCAAAGAAGTTTATCTTCAAAACACTGGTGGATCTGAACCGACTGGCAATTTGCTCTTCAATTTTCCATGAAATTACATAGTATCTTTTAAGGTGTCTGGGGAGGAGGGGGAGTGTAACTTCCAATTACATCGTTCCTGATCTTTGATCACTTACGATTTTCCAACAGACTATGTAACAGACTTTCTAGATGACAAACCAGCAACCCTAAAACCAGTTTTCTGCTCCTGCAGGGTTCGTTTTAAGTCACCGTTCTCCTTTCTAGGCAACAGATTATGATGACTGTATACTCTTTCCCTGCTACTTGGATGAAAACCTCAGCTTTAAAAGCTTTTTAAAGAAATGAGTCCAGTCCCCATTCCTAACAGAGCTGAACCTTGCTTACAGCGGAAGGAACAGCTCGGGAGTTAAGATCTGCAAGGCACTGTTTTCCAGCTTGGGTACATCTCAGCCTCCAACCCTTACCCTAAAAGACTAGATCACCAGTCAGTCTCAGGAACTTAACCAGTTCTTACAGCCTCCGATCCTAAGCCCATAGAACTAGTTCTCCAGCTAGTTAAAGGAGCCCTCCAGGCTCTCGCCCCCAAGGCGGAGTTCCCGGATGTTTCCCAGCACCTCCCGCCGGTCTCTCTAGATACTCTGAGGAACTCGACCTGAGCCGGGCCGTGGTGCGGCACGCCTTTAGTCCCAGCACTCGAGAGGCAGAGGCAGGCTGATCTCTGTGAGTTCGAGGCCAGCCTGGTTTACAAGAGCTAGTTCCAGGACTTTAACACTGAGAAACCCTGTCTCGAAACACCCCCCCCCCCCAAAAAAAAAGGGAACTCAACCCGATCTGATCAGCGCCACAGCTCCCCGGCTGCGGTTGAACTTACCCGCCTCGTCTGGCCCGGGGGGCGTCCGAAGTACGTCCTAAGAGGCCGGTCTGGGAGCGGGCTGCAGGCGGTAGCCATGGCCCGGGCGCGGAGGTGCGGGCCGAGACAGAAGCCCGAGCAGCACGTGGATGGTGAGCTACTTCTCAGCTACTGCCCGGCCGCCGCCGCCGCCCCTTCCGGGTCCGGGAACGGCGGCAGCACGCACACCGGCCGGAGCCAAGAAGCCCCGAATGCCTCAGAAACCGGAAGAGGCCGCCTGCCGCCCACCTGGCGGGGTCTCCCTCAGCCGCCACGCTGGTCTTAGCATCTCAGTCACCCACACGAGACTCACTCTTTCTCAGGTTCTTAGTTGAGCCTAGCACCCAGTGTCTAGCAAAGGGACTTCCCACCTTTTCCTCTCACCCGCAGGCGCGGCGCGGGTCAACCCTCCCGGAGCGCACTTTCCAGACAGGCAGCTCCGCGGCCACCTAGCAGGGTGACGTTGCTTAGCAACGGCGGGGTCCTTTCTGGCTCGGTGGCGCTCGGGACCTGAGGGGAGTAAACGGCCGCGGAGGGTGCTGGGGGTGGCGCCGTGGTGCTGGGGGCGGCCGGGGTGGGGGGGGGACGGTGGCGAGGGCTCTGTGAGCCCGGGAACCCGAACTCTGCGCCCCGAGCAAGATGAGCGAGGCGGATCAGGCCCGTGTGGGGCCCACGGCTGAAGAGCCCTCGCCGTCCCCCGAGGAGGAGGGCGAAGGGGGCGGGAAGGAGCCGACGACCGAAGCGGCCCCCGGGCCCAGCGCCGCGTTCCGCCTCATGGTGACTCGGCGGGAGCCGGCCGTGAAGCTGCAGTACGCGGTGAGCGGCTTGGAGCCACTTGCCTGGTCGGAGGACCACCGCGTGTCGGTGTCCACGGCCCGCAGCATCGCCGTGCTGGAGCTTATCTGCGACGTGCACAACCCGGGCCAGGACCTGGTGATCCACCGCACCTCGGTGCCTGCACCCCTCAACAGCTGCCTCCTCAAAGTAAGTTAACCCGCCACGGCTCGAGCTCAGCCCCGGTGCCTGCGAGGCTCCCGCGGGCGCGTCACGGATCCCGAGGGAAGCCTGGCATGCACCTGGCCCCGGGATTCCCTGCGCATCCAACTCTTTGCAATCAAGGGACTAACATCGCCCCAGCTTCTGCAAAGCCTTGCAAGCTGCTGCACTGTTACTAGACCCCCCTCCCCCCGCATCAATACACGGTGGTTCCCCCCCCCCACGACACCCCGCTTCTGTCATCCGTCCCTCCTTTCCTGCAGCTAGCGCAGTTCGCGATTGCCCGGGTGCTGTCTGAGACTCCACCCCCGCTTCCCCAGCTCCGGACCGGCCTCTACCGTCGCTCCTATTGTCTGGGGCCAACTCCCCGAGGCCCTAGGCTGGCTTTTTTTTTTTTTTTTTTTTTTTTATACTGTGTTGCGTGCGCCCTTCTCTCGCTGTGTTGCGTGCGCCCTTCTCTCGCGCCACTTTTTCTTCGAGAAGAAAAAACTGGTCTATTTCGTGGTCTTACCTGTTTGGCGATTTAATTGTGAATGGTCCTTGTGTCTCCCTGGGTAGACGGGTAAATAGGGGTTTGTATCTCGATCTTTGAAAGTGGAACGAAAAATAAAACCTCAGGGAACATCCAGTGCTTAGACTTCCAAGTCCAAGGTCTCTGTAAATTTAGTGCCTTCAACATCATATAACCCAAGTTTGTCCCTGAACTTTCGAGTTTCTAAAGTTTTGTGTTGATGTCACCGTTTTTCCAGACATGGTGTATTTTAAAGTAGTGAGTGATGTCGTTCCTTTTTGTAGCCTAGTAATATAAAAGCTTACTCTGATTTCCTGTATAGCTCTGTGTGTATATGTAGTATGTAATCTGTCAGAGTGAGTGCCTGCCGAGGTGCTGGGATAAACCAGGGTAGAGAACAGTCCTTAAGGAACTTACATCCTTTCAGATTATGAACAGACAATCTAGTCAAAAAGCAAGCAGTGCTATAAAGCTGTTCACCCACGTGGCACTATGTTTATTTGAAAGGAAAGTTTTTCCACACTCTTGTAGACAGCCATTCCAAATCTGGGCTATTAGTCATGAGTACACTTCGAGTAGCCCTCATGAGTGCTTTTCAGCATGCTTAATTCAAGTTTCAAACACAATGTTGAATTAGATAATATCCTTTTTTTTTTAAATAGCATTTTGGTCTTGATAAGCCTACCTGGGATTAGGGTTTTACAGATTGAATTAGGTAATCAATTTGACTGACTGAGCCACCTGTAAAATCTTCTTAATCCCAGCACTCGGGAGACAGAGGCAGGCAGATCTCTGTTAGTTCAAGGCCAGCCTGGTCACGGAGTGAGTTCCAGGACAGCCAGGACTATTTCATAGAGAAACCCTATCTCGAGAACCCCACCCCTCCAAAAAAACTCATAAAGCCCCACCCAGGTGACAAGTAAGGCGTCTAGCTCAAGCACATAGATAGATCTTTAAGCCATGTGTGTGTAGCTGTTGCTTTAGTATTGATGGATCACCTGAAGTTGAGTATTTCTTCTACAGAGAAAATGATACTACCAGTAGGAACTAGGAAGGTTAGTTTAAGACGTTTCTTGAGTGCTGTTTCAGTTTTATGAGGGTATAGTTCAGGGGTGTGAGGCTGCCTGAGCTAGAGGTAAAGAAATAATTGCTGGGCTGAGGATAAGAGACTGGGCTTTAGCCAGGCAGTGCTATGGGGTCTTGAGTACCAGCCTCAGTCTGGAACAGGTGGCCTGACCCAGGAAAGAGCCAGCATTCAAGGGGAAGTACCTGACATTCCAAACCATTAGCTAAAGTTACTAAACGTCCCTGAATCCTGATTCACCCATTCTCCTTATCTAATCTCTTTGGTGATAACCAGTTTTGGGGAAGCCCAGATTTGTTAGCATAGGTAGGGCATGCTGCCTTCCTGCTCAGTGCCTATCTTCTATAGAAATTCCTATGTGCTCTGTTAGCAGGTAACTTTGTGGGATTGACTATGTAAATTTGACTGTTAGAACTGTTGGGGCCTGTGTGGGTCCAACACAGGTTCCCTAACTGGACTAGAACGGAGTCGCGAGGAATAAACCGACGCAGCTTACACGGTCATCATGGAAACCAAAGATCTCTCATTTATTATCCAAACACCTTATATATCATCACATCAATTGAGCGGGAAAACACATTAGGCTGTCTTCTAGGCAACCAGGTGCCTGGGCTCAAGTCAGGACCACATCTACCAGTGTGCTAGCAGTCAGGTAGGCCATAAATTAGCATCTCTATAAGACATCCTCCAAATTACAAAGGGAGGAAGCACTGAACCTCTTAACTCTCAAGTCATCAGCTTCAGCCAACATCTCTTCTCAGGTAATCTACATTTATAACAAAAGAAACTAGGAGGAGCACATCCTGGCTACTGTTAAACAGGGACAGCTTGTCTGCAGTTACAGGATCAGCTCCGACCTGACTCTTGTGCCCTACAGAACTGTGGGCCTACATAGAACAAAGAGTGGATGTCATTGCTCCAAGGCCTCATGGTGTGGGGAAATGGAGCAAGGTCATCCTTTGCCATGCAGAAGTCACACTGCTGAGGTATTTTGGGAATGAATCCCTTTTCAAAGGGAAGAAGCATGGCTTCCTTCACAAGATTTCCACTCAAGATATGACAGCCACTTTTCCAAAAGACAAGTGTTCCCGCAGCTCTAGAAACAGGTTGCACCGTAAGTTGTACACTTATGGATCTGCCTTTATGAATCTGTCAGCTGTAATTTACTGTATGGTCTTGTGGGCTCCAACACAGATTAAAGCCACTTTAATCTCAGCACTCAGGAGGCAGAGGCAGGCTGATCTCTGTAAGGTCAAGGCCAGCCTAGTCTACTGAGTGAGTTACAGAGTTACAGGACAGCCAAGACTGTTACACAGAAAAACTGGTCTCAAAAAAAGAAAACGAGAGAGAGCAAGAGAGAAAGAGACAGACAGACACTGGGTTTTGGCACAAGATGGACCTATCTATAAAACAGAAATAGTAAAGTTTGCCTTGTTTAGGCTTTATGGAGACTTAAATTTAATCCATGCATAGAACATAATAGGCCAGGTGGTGGTGGCACACTTCTTTAATCCCAGCACTCACACTCAGGAGGCAGAGGCAGGCGGATCTCTGTGAGTTCAAGACCAGCCTGATCTACAAGAGCTAGTTCCGTGACAGGCTCCAAAGCTACAGAGAAACCCTGTCTCGGAAAAAAAACCCACCAAAATAGAACATTATCACTTAATGTCTGGCATTGAGTACATGGTAGTGCGCAAGATAGGAATATATAGGCATGAAGGAAAGTCTGCGTTAGTTTGGTAAGCCTGTGTTTGAAGGTGATACTAACATTCTGATAACTTGACTGAAATACTGCTACATTTGGCATTTGCCACACTGTTTAAATAGCAGAAAGTCTTTATATAGCCCTCTAATGGATAGAGTTTATATGAAGAGGTCTTCATTGTTGCAGTATGACTATAAAGAAGTCTATCAGTTCTTCTGTGCCCTACATAGTGATGGTCCCTAGAGATTTAAATCTATTCAGTGTTGTCCAACTAGCTATTGCTTCTACTCAAATAACAGATAATTTGAAACCTAGGGTATGATTTTTTATTATGTAGCACAGCTAAAGAACTAAACACTAAACAGCTTTTGAAGCTGTTGCTCTATAATTCTGTTAGATCACAGCTCAAACTTTGATTATCAGCTATTTGTAAGTTTCTGTCTTGGAGGTTGAAATTGTATGATAAAACATTGAATAATAAAAATAATTAAAAGCAAGAAAATGTAACTTAAGAATAAGTCACAGGACTGGTAAGGTAGCTCAACAGTTAAGAGCTTTTTGCTGCTTTTGCTAAGGACCTGGATTCGTTTCCCAGCCCACATTGGACAGGTTACAACCATCTGCAGTTTCAGTTCTAGAGGATTTTACACCCTCTTCTGGCCTGTGGGTACCAGGCATGCACATATAGTACAAATACATACATGTAGGCAAACACTCATACACATAAAAATTAAATCTTAAAAAGAATAAGTTTAAGTTTTTTCCCATTAGATTACTGATACAGTTCCAAATCCTAACGCTCTCTATGAGCTAGTCTTATTGTGTATCAGTTGCTTATTTGTGCTTGCTACGCAAAATGACTGTTGTCTGTGTTTGGAAATCACACATTCTCTGTCTTCAGGTAGCTCCTTGCTACTTAAAGTTTCAGATGGGGCTTCTTGTGTCAACTTTTGTGTGGGTAGCGGTCAGCTTGAAATTCAGGAGTGCATGATTGAGTGATGGGCTCTTGCAGCGTATGGAAACTCAGCTTTCAAGTGGTTAGGTCATTAGACATCTAAGTGCTTGTTTAAATTTTCTAACTGGTTTTTGTGATGGAAAGAGTTGGGAAGGGAGATGGAATCAACTAAAAAAAACTTGAATTTAATTATGTGTTTAAAATTACCCTGCTGGTCAAGATCAGTGTTGTCCTCTATCTCTAAATGCCCTAAAATTAGGATATTTTGGCTTCGGTTCTGTTTCAAAACCTGCAAGGTTCTATTTTAAAAAGAAGTTTGCCTGTGTAAACGTGTTTTTACAGTGGCTCCCTGGCCAAGGCATTTTATATGCTCCCATTACTTCTAGGAGGGCTAGTGAGTAATATTGGGCATTTCCAAAACTTAACTCTCCGTAGACATCTTTTCTAGGAAGTTGCCTCGTGAGCTCTAGAAATCTACCTCTGCCTCACCAAGTTCATCGTGTTGTACCTAACTTTTGGCATGAGTTCTGGGTTTAAATTTGGTTTCTTTGTGCTTGTGGGGCAAACTCTACTGACTGAGCCATGTCCCCAGCTCTGTTGCTATCTCGAGTACTGTTCACTGCTGATACGTTGAGGAATTTTGTCATTAATTAGACTTAACAGCTTATATATACTTAACATTTGAAAGATCTTTTAAAATAGTGCCTTAAACTTTGCTGGGATGTAGGCACTGCTTCTTAGTGATTATTTTCCAAGTTCTGCCTGTGTTCTAGAGTTTAGCCTCAGTGCTTGGTAACTTACATCAACTCACTTTTATTAAATCCATATATTAAAAAGGACTTGAATTCCCTTTTAATTATGTCCTACCCTTCCATTTCCAAGTTTCTTTAAAAAGTTGGCACTAAAATTAAAATAGAAAGGATTTTTTTTTGTTTGTTTACTTTTCTTTATTTTTGGCACTAAAATCAAAATGGAAAGTTTTTGTTGTTGCTGTTGTTTTTTTGTTTTGTTTTGTTTTTTTACTTTACTTTTCTCCTTTGGTTTCTTCAGCTGGCCACATCCCTGACTGTCCTGAAGCTTGCTGGGGTAATACTACTAACTCTGTGTCCCAAATGTTGTGACTACAGATGTGTACCAGTACACTTTGCCTTTTATTTGTGTTTTTGAAAACAGTAGATGAAGTTCTTCTTCCTTTCAGTATAGTGAAAGTATCTTTAGCTCAACCTATGTTTTGTTTTTTGGGTTTTTTGTTTGTTTGTTTGGTTGGTTGATTGGTTGGGTTTTTTTGCTTTAGCCTTCCTGGCTATAATTTTAGTCATTTACAACTTCCTCTATATTTACTATCAATTTAAAATTTTCTTCAGAGCTTTCATCATTTGGCTGAGCACTTGACATGTGTTACAGACCTAGACGCGGAGCGGGTGTGTGGATGAAGCAAAGCTAGAATGATCTGAGCCCTCATAGTACTAAACCTGGTAGGATATATGAGCAGGAGCAAGTTAGGTAAAGGAGCCAGGAAAAGTGGTGGGTGGAATAGAGAAGTCTGATAGGAGCCATCTTACTTGTAGCAAGAGTAGACAGGGAAATTGATGTTTGAAATGCGTGTGATATGTTAAAGAAACTGCAGATTAAAAGGCCTAGAGTTGGTTAATGAGGAGGTTTAGTGGCCTAAAAGCAGAAGCCTGATGACTTTAGACAGTCCCCGGAACATACTTGAAAAAGCCCAATGTGATATGTAATGGCTTGCATCTGTAATCCCAGCATTGCTATAGTGAGATGGAAGCATCATGGGGAAGCTGACCCAGCCAGCTAACCTGGAGAACACAAGCACAGCAGAAACCAGAGCTCAGTGGTAGAAGAACATTTGCTTCGCATGCGTGAGGCCTTTGGTTTGATCTTCAGCATATGTCACAAAGCTATTACAAAATACAACTATCTAATGTAGCAAAAATGAATATACGTACATATTTCCCTGACTTTTAAAACTGCTGCTGTTTTGTGACTGTCTCAGCTAAGTGTTCCCTTCACTCTTGTAAATCAACTGTCTATTCCGTAGGCCAATTCCAAGAAGAATCTGGAAACCAAGCCATGAATAATCACATTTATTGAATCTTTAAAAAAAAAAACACACACAATTCATTAGTAAATGCACATTTAATCTTTACACATAATTATTATTATGTTTAATCATAATCAAATCATTATTTTTGTTTGCTTTATTTTAAGATAGAGTTGTTCTACCTCAACTTTGGCTGACTGAACTTGTGATCTTCCTGCCTCGGCTCCCAGTGTGTTTATATTAGCAAGTGTGCATTGCCAAACCTGGCTGTTTGATCTTTTAAATGCATATAATGCCAAAATTGCCAGAATTGATATAAAATTGTTTTATATGTTAATGGAAAGCAGTTATTGCATGTGAATATTTACCTGATAGCTTCTGTATGTCTTATTTTCAGGTTGGTTCAAAAACAGAAGTTGCTGAGTGCAAGGAGAAGTTTGCTTCCTCTAAAGACCCCACCATCAGCCAGACTTTCATGTTGGACAGGATGTTCAACCCCGAGGGGAAGGCGTTACCCCCAATGCGGGGCTTCAAATACACAAGTTGGTCTCCCATGGGTTGTGATGCAAATGGCAGGTGCCTCTTGGCAGCACTGACCATGGACAATCGCCTGACTGTGCAGGTGAACCTCAACAGACTCCAGTGGGTTCAGTTAGTTGATTTGACTGAGATTTATGGAGAACGTCTTTATGAAACCAGTTATAGACTCTCTAAAAATGAGGGTCCAGGGGGAAATCTTGGGGATTTTGCTGAGTTTCAAAGAAGACACAGCATGCAGACCCCAGTCAGAATGGAATGGTCAGGAATCTGTACCACTCAGCAAGTCAAGCACAATAATGAGTGCCGGGATGTGGGCAGTGTGCTCCTGGCTGTCCTCTTTGAGAACGGGAATATAGCTGTGTGGCAGTTTCAGCTGCCATTCGTGGGAAAAGAGTCCATCTCTTCATGCAACACCATTGAGTCAGGAATCAGCTCCCCAAGTGTTTTGTTTTGGTGGGAATATGAGCACAATAATCGGAAAATGAGTGGCCTTATTGTAGGCAGTGCTTTTGGACCGGTGAAAATTCTCCCCGTCAATCTCAAAGCAGTCAAAGGCTACTTCACTTTAAGGCAGCCTGTTGTCTTGTGGAAAGAAATGGACCAATTGCCTGTGCATAGCATCAAATGTGTGCCACTTTATCATCCTTACCAGAAGTGTAGCTGTAGCTTAGTGGTAGCAGCAAGAGGCTCCTATGTGTTCTGGTGTCTTCTTCTGATCTCAAAGGCTGGTCTGAATGTTCACAACTCCCATGTCACAGGCCTTCACTCACTGCCTATCGTCTCCATGACTGCAGATAAGCAGAATGGAACAGTGTACACCTGTTCTAGTGATGGGAAGGTGAGGCAGTTGATTCCTATTTTCACAGATGTTGCATTGAAGTTTGAACACCAGCTGATTAAACTCTCGGATGTATTTGGCTCAGTGAGGACTCATGGCATTGCAGTGAGCCCCTGCGGTGCTTATCTGGCCATCATCACCACTGAGGGCATGATCAATGGCCTCCATCCTGTGAACAAGAACTACCAGGTCCAGTTTGTTACTCTCAAGACCTTTGAAGAAGCAGCTGCTCAGCTCTTGGAATCTTCAGTTCAAAATCTCTTTAAGCAGGTGGACTTAATTGACCTAGTCCGCTGGAAAATTTTAAAAGATAAACATATTCCTCAATTTTTACATGAAGCTTTGGAAAAAAAGATTGAAAGCAGTGGGGTCACCTATTTTTGGCGGTTTAAGCTTTTCCTCCTAAGGATTTTGTATCAGTCAATGCAGAAATCCCCTTCAGAGGCCTTATGGAAGCCCACCCACGAGGACTCAAAAATCTTACTGGTTGATTCACCTGGGATGGGCGATGGTGAGGATGAACAGCAGGAAGAAGGCACTTCCAAGCAGGGGACCAAGGCTGGCCTGCAGGAGAGGAGCAAAGAGGGTGACACAGAGGAGCCCCCCGAAGACTCACTCGCTGCCGTGGGAGACACCGGCATAGAGGAAAAGCTCCTTGAGATCCAAGGGAAGATTGAGGCTGTGGAGATGCACCTGACGAGGGAGCATATGAAGCGGGTCCTCGGAGAAGTGTACCTGCATACCTGGATCACGGAGAACACCAGCATACCCACCAGGGGACTCTGTAACTTTTTGATGTCTGATGAGGAGTATGATGACAGAACAGCACGGGTAGGTGTCTGTCGAAACCACTAGCCCTGTAGACCATCTTTTCTTCTTACTGGGTAAAGGGATCTTGGCTTGGCTTTTGCTTTGACATTATTGAGGTAAGTGGTTGCTATAAAGTACAGGGAAATAGATGGGAAATATAGATTGAAGTTGAAGACATACTTTCTTCCATTTTGACTGATGTGTAGGGATTGCCAGACGACATTTCTAGGCTGTGGATGAGTTAAGGAGACTGCGGTGGCAAGTGGTGTGTGATGAACTGTAGTGGCATTTCAATTGTATTTTAGTAAATAAAGCTTGCCTGAAGATCTGAGAGAAAAAGCAGACCAGGTAATGGTAACACACACCTTTAATGTCAGTAGCCACATTAGTAGCCGTAGAAACTGGGTGATACACGCTTTTAATCCCAGAACTAGAGGGGATTATAAAATGGAAGGAAAAAGCAATCACACACAGTCTCATTCTGAGATTCCTGAATGCAGGTTCACCATTTTTGACTGAGGTCAAGGTAAGAGCCAGTGGCTACTTCACTTTCCTTTTTGGATCTTCATGTTGGACCCCAATTTCAGTCTCTGAGCTTTTATTAATTGTGCATCATTTGTTAAGTATAAAAATTAGAATTACAGCCATCATAAACAATATCAAGCAAGAAACATATGCTAAATGTATTAATAATTATTTTATCCTAAGGTCTCTAAGTCTTGTATTAGAAATGAATTAGATAAGTCATGAGAGTAAAGTAACTATGACTATCTAGTCTTCAACTCCATCGAATACATGGGAAGGAAAATAATATTACTTGAGTAAACAGAAAGTGCAATCAAGCAACTTCCAAATGTGCAATAACTATAAGAAGATAACTGGCTACCTGGGTAATCAATCACCCAGAGTCTCATTTGCAACGTTGGAGCAGCCACCTTTGGCTATGGCCTAGAGTAACTGACAGACCACTGTCAGAGGCAGGAAAAATTTCAAAACCATCTTACCCTGTCTTGGCAAGGTTTGGCAGTCTTTTTTTCTTGTATCCTGCTTGTCCAGTCTGGACACCATGCATTTTGTCAGTGGTTGAGGCATGGACAGTTCTTTGCCCAAAGGCCAGTTTTGCCAAGAAGAAAACAAGCTCCAAGTGGTGTGTGGTCGGTGCCCAACATTCTCTCGGGAATAGATGAGTGCTGCCAGAAACAATTTTGTCTTGCGTCAACATAACCCTAAGTTATTTAAATGGTATATTCTACAGTTCTTTGAAGTAGTTGAAGATTACCTGTAAATGTGGAATATAATCTGTATGTATCTAAAGAGCCTGATTAGTCTAACTATGAGTATGACAAACATGGATACTATTGACCTGTAATTCTTAATACCTATATAGCTTAAAGAGTAAGACCACATATTTAAACAATCTTTAAACAACTGTGCAGCAAATGAGGGCAGTGACCTCAAAATGTAAACAATGTATAAGTATCTTGATCAGAGGTAGAAATGTATAGTGCAATATGATAAATATATTCTAAAATTGTATCAATATGCCAGATGTCTTAAGCAAAGTTAGAAACATGCATGCATACAATATAACAAAATAATTTTGCATAGGTGTACAACTACTGTAAACAGAAATAGCATTTTCCATATAACAAATATAATTTGAATTTGTATCAATATACAAGAATCTATACCAATGTAAATTGTTTATAAATAATAGCTCACAAATATTCACTGTTATTCCCTATTATTATTAGTGTAAGTAAGCTCACACTAATCTGCCTATTTTTTCATCTAGCCCCTCTCCCCCCCCCCAAAGAGATCCCTGAGCCTACATAATTTCCACCCCAACCCTATACTAATTATAGTCAATCCGTAATTGATGTCCCTAAGCCTGGGGACAAACTTTGTCTGGAGAGGGGACATTGTCTTCTAGAATTACTTCCAGCTATCATGGGGTTGCTGTTCTTTCTATGGGATCCTGTAAAACTAAAATAATGGTTAATTTTCAAGGTTGCTGTCTGGTATAATTGCAGATAGTCTCTGAATAGTTTCTGAAGTTCTTGTTAGAAGTTCTGGCCAGAACATTGTAAGAATTTGCACCATTTCAGCTAACCAAGTTGGAATCATTGTGAGCAACTGGTTCCCAAAACTGATCTTAAAGTAGTGCTATCAGCATCATGACGTCATATCAACCAGGTGGAATTGTTCTTCTGGGTCCCATCTTTTTCCTGGAAACTTCAAAGATTACTGCAGGAAAATTTATTGTTCATTGTAGAAAACTTAAACATTATTCACATAGGCATATATTCAATGAAAAGTACAATAGAGACAAAAATATTTATGGGAAAACTAAAATCATTCCTAAATTCTTCTTTCTGTCCCATACCATATGGCTCCTGATAAGAGACAGAAACTGACTTTTTCTTTTAACAACATGCTTGGATTTAGAGAAGGATAGCCATTGTCCAACTCCAAAGCCAGCTTTAATTTTTAAGTAGAGATATATACATGTTCAGGTAATGAAATTTCACCCTGCAGATGATATGTCATCATAAGTCAGATTTCTCTTTACTTAGTGACACTTTCTGGAAAGTGATCGTTTCTCCTTTAGGCATCTAGATGTTGAAGGTCTTTCCATTTTTTTTTTAAAGATGGATATTTTCCTGCAAATTAAAAAACAGAACCCTGCCCCAATCTTTATGATTGTTACCTCTGTGGATGAGCTGTCATTTTTTCTGTCTCAAGAGGTTTCTCTTTTTCAAACCGAATCTTTATTTTGATGGTATCCATAACTTTTCTTCTTTTGTGGAAACAAGAGCAAAACCCTTTCCCCAACGTAGCACATCTCCTGGTTTCCATTCTGAGATCACCACATCTTTGAAATATACTGACTGATTTAATGTAGAAGTTTTTTCTGTTATCCAATGTCTCTCTGCTGACATTGTTCTTTTCTCATTAGCATTAAGAAAATTCAAGGTTAATAAAGCATTATGCAATCTATTTCTGTGGGTATTTCCCATCCCCTTCTAGTTTGTTTAACATATCCTTTATAGTTCGATTTGATCTTTCTATAACTGCCTGACCTGTAGGATTGTTTGGTATACCTGTAATATGCTTTATATTATAGTAAGCAAAAATCTTTCATTTTCTTAGAGATATATACTGGACCATTATCTGTCTTTCATTGTGCAGGTATACCCTTTATGGCCATAACTTCTATAATAAACATGTGATTACTGAATCAACCTTATCTGAGCTCAAAACAGCTGCCCATTGAAAACCGGAATAAGTATTAATGGTGTGGTATACATATTTTAATTTTCCAAAATCTGCAAAGTGGAACATATCCATCTGCCAGATTTCATTCCTTTGGGTTACTCCCTATAGGTAATGTTATTTGGTTAAAGAAAGAGCAAGTAGAACATCTCATTATAATCTCCTTAGCTTTTTGCTGTGTAATAGAAAACTCTTCTTTTTTTTAAATATTTATTTATTTATTCTGTATACAATATTCTGTCTGCATGTATGCCTTCAGGCCATAAGAGGGCACCAGACCTCATTACAGATGGTTGTGAGCCACCATGTGGTTGCTGGGAATTGAACTCAGGACCTTTGGAAGAGCAGGCAAAGCTCTTACCCACTGAGCCATCTCTCCAGCCCCTAGAAAACTCTTCTTTAAACCTTTGCTATTAGCATAATGTTTCTTATGAAATTCTGAGGCCTTCAGCACATTTCCAATCAATAATTGATCAATTTCTGCATTACCTTGTACTATAAGACCTGGCAGACCCATATGGGATTGGATGTATGTTATGTATATGGGACAAAGCCTATTCCTGAATATATCTTGAACCTGAATGAATAATGAAGTCAATTCTGTATCATGTGGTATAAATTCAGCAGTTTCAATATTCAAGACAACTCTTTGTACATAACCATATTGAAAGGTTCTTTAAAATCTCTTAGTACCATGAGAATAGCATATAATTCTGCCTTTTGGACAGAATTGGGCAGAATTATAAGGGCTTTTTTCCACCTTACTTAAGTCTTCAGATTTATAACCTGCCTTTACTGATTTTTTTTTTTTTGCATCAGTATAGAATGTGTGGGCTCCAGTTATTGATGTATCCTGTTCAGTGTGGGGAAAAATTCAAGTAGTTCTCTTTATAAGGTTAATTCTATCTTTTTGAGGATAATTGCTCCTTAAAAAAAAATTTAGTGCAAGCTCTTTGCCAGGGTTCGTTGTCTTCCCATAATTTTTAAATTTCAGCAGTAGTAAAAGGCACTATAGTCTTTGCTGGGTCTATTCCTTTTAGTTTGAGGAAGTCTCAATTTTCCTTTTCTAATTAATTCAGAGACCCTTTCCACATAAATTTTTTTAAATATTTATTTATTATGTATACAATATTCTTTCCGTGTGTATGCCTGCAGGCCAGAAGAGGGCACTAGACCCCATTACAGATGGCTGTGAGCTACCATGTGGTTGCTGGGAATTGAACTCAGGACCTTTGGAAGAGCAGGCAATGCTCTTAACCTCTGAGCTATCTCTCCAGCCCCTCCACATAAATTTTTTACTCGGATTATGTGATAAAATGATCCATTCTAAGATAATATCTTCCCTCTGCATTAAAATTCCTGTAGGGGAAGTTCTGGAGGGTAATATGACTAGAATGCAGTTAAGATTTGGATCTACCCAATCTACATGTGTCTTCTGTAATTTCTTTTCAACCAAAGTTAATTCTTAGCTTCAGCTGTTAATTCCCTGAGTCTGTTTAAGTCTTTGTCACCATCTAGGGTATTGTTTGAATGAATTACTAGATCAGTTGTTATCCCAACAGTGAGTCATAGATTGGAATTCTCCTAACAATCTTTGAAAGTCATTAAGAGTTTGCTATCGGTCTCTCCTAATTGATAGAATCTACTCTTTGTATTTTTAGGGAGCAATTTGTAATCCCCATTAAGCAAAGCTTTCTTTACTTCTTCAAACAATCTTTCTAAAGTGTCTGCATTTGAATTGGATAGGAA